CACCCCTGCACTCACCACCACACCCTTGCAATCATCCCCACACCTCTGCACTTACCCCAACACGCCTGCACTAACCCCCACACCCTTGGACTCACCACACCCGTGCACTCACCCCCACACCCCTGGATGTCCCCCCCACACCCCAGCACTCACCCCACACCCCCAGCACTCACCCCCCACACCCCACTCTCATCCCACACCCCTGGACTCATCCCCAGACCCCTGGACTCACCCCCACAACCCCTGGACTCACCCCCCCACAACCTGAACTCCTCCACACCTCTGGACTCACCCCCACACTCCTGGACTCACCACCACACCCCTGGACTCACCACCACACCCCTGGATTTACCCCCCACACCCCTGGACTCGCCCCCACACCCCTGGACTGCCCCACACACTCTGGAAATGACCTCACACCCCTGTAACTCGCCCCCACACCCCTGCGCTCACCGACACACCCCTGCTCACCCCCATCTGGGCTCACCCCCACACCCCTGAGCTCACCCCCCCACACCCCTGCACTCATCCCCACACCCCTGCGTCACCTCACACCTCTAGTTCAATACCACACTCATAGCTCTTCCACAACACTACCATTCCACCGACACATCCAGCACTCCCTCCCATCCCAGCACCCACCACCAATCCTGCACTCACACCCCAGCACTCTCCACCACACCCCTCCGCTCACCCCCCACACCCCTGCGCTCACCCCACATCCCAGCACTCACCCCCACACCCCTGAACTCACCACCACATCCCAACTCGCCACCACAAACCAGCACTCGCCCCCACCCCTGCACTCCACCAGCACACCCCTGCACTCACCATACACCTCTGCCTCACCCCCACCCCCCTGCACTCACCATCACACCTGCACTCACCACCACACCCTGCACTCACCACCACACCCCCTGCACTCACCACCACACCCCTGCACTCACCACCACATCCCAGCACTCACCCCCCACACCCTGAACTCACCACCATCCCAGCACTCGCCACCTAGCACTCGCCCCCCACACCCCTGCACTCACCACCACACCCTGCACTCACCCCCCACACCCCTGCACTCACCATCCACACCCCTGCCTCACCACCACACACCCACTCACCCCACACCCCTGCACTCACCCCCACACCCCTGCACTCACCACCACCCCTCTCACACACCCCTGCACTCACCATCACACCCCTGCACTCCCATCCACTGCATTTCCGGGAGCTCAGGTAAAGACATAAATATCGCTTAGGTTTGGCAACCCATCAATTTGACAGTGAGAAATAGCGAGCAATGGTGAGAAATAGCGAGCAATGGTGAGAAAAGTGCAATACCGAGAAATAGCAAGCAATACCGAGAAATAGCGATCAATACCGAGAAATAGCGATCAATACCGAGAAATAGCGATCAATACAGAGAAATTTAAGTCGTTAATTTAACAGTCCTTTCAAGGAGAATATCAAAGCCCCTGTCAAGTTAAGAGGAACTAAGAAAGAAATAAGTATGAGTATTAGGATTTATGTCAGTTGCTGGAAACTGTCCTCGATAATGAGATAGATAACGCTACGATATCCAGACAATTTATCCTACTAAAATTTGGTTGTTACGTTAGGTTAATTTAAATTGCTAGGTATCCCCAATAATGATCCGATAGAGTAACGTCATCCACTCACCCCTGCGCTCACCTCACACCCCTGCGCTCACCTGCCACACCCCTGCGCTCACCAGCCACACCCCTGCGCTCACCAGCCACACCCCTGGACTCACCCCCACACCCCTGCATTCAACCCCACACTCTGCACTCACCCCCACACCCCTGGACTCATCCCTACGCCCTGGACTCACCCCCACACCCCTGGACTCGCTCCCCCACACCCCTGACCCATCCCGTGCCCCTGACTCATCCCTACGCCCTGACTCACTTCACGCCCCTGGACTCCCCCACACCCCTGGACTCACCACCACACCCCTGGACTCATCCCTACGCCCCTGGACTCACCCCCACACCCCTGGACTCACCACCACACCCCTGGACAAATCCCTACGCCCCTGGACTCACCCCCACACCCCTGGACTCTGCCCCCAACACCCTGGACTCACCCCACACCCTGGACTCACCCCTACACCTGGACTCACCCCCACACCCCTGACTCACCCCCACACCCCTGGACTCACCCCCACACCCTGGACTCCACCCCCACACCCCTGTCCTCACCCCTTCACCCTGGACTCACCCCACACCCATGGACTCACCCCACACCCTGGACTCCACCCCACGCCCTGGACTCACCACCACACCCCTGGACTCACCCCACACCCCTGCACTCACCCCCACACCCCTGCACTCCACCCCCCCACACCCTGCACTCACCCCACACCCCTGGACTCACCCCTACGCCCCTGGACTCACCACCACACCCTGACTCACCACCACACCCTGGACTCACCCCACACCCCTGCACTCACCACACACCCCTGGGCTCACCCCTTCACCCTGACTCCACCTCACACCCATGGACTCACCCCCACACCCTGGACTTACCCCCTACGCCCCTGGACTCACCACCACACCCCTGACTCACCCCCACACCCCTGCACTCACCAACACACCCCTGACTCACCCTTCACCCTGGACTCACCCTTCACTGACTCACCCCCACCCCATGGACTAACCCCACACCCTGACTCCACCCCCACGCCCCTGACTCACCCCACGCCCCTGGACTCACCCCCCACACCCCAGCACTCACCCCCCACACCCCTGCACTCACCCCAAACCCCTGCGCTCACCCCCACACCCCAGCACTCACCCCACACCCCTGGACTCCACCCCCACACCTCTGGACTCACCCCACACCCCTGGACTCATCCCACACCCCTGCACTCACCACCACACCCTAGCAATCATCCCACACCTCTGCACTCACCCCAAGCCTGCACTAACCCCACACCCTGACTCACCCCCCACACCCCTGCACTCAGCCCCACCCCTAGTTTATCACCACACCCATAGCTCTTCACCACACCCTGCATTCACCGACACACTCCCAGCACTCACTCCCACATCCCACTCACCACGACTCTGCACCCACCACCACCCCTGCACCCACCACACACCCCTGCACCCACCACACCCCCTGCGCTCACCCCCACACCCCTGCGCTCACCCCCACATCCCAGCACTCACCCCCACACCCCTGCACTCACCACCACATCCCAGCACTCACCACCACAAACCAGCACTCCACCCCCACACCCCTGCACTCACCATCACACCCCTGCACTCACCACCACACCCCTGCACTCACCAACAACCACCTGCCACCACACCCCTGCACTACCATCACACACCTGCACTCACCACCACACCCCTGCACTCACCACCACAACCAGCACCACCCCACACCCCTGCACTCACCATCACACCCTGCACTCACCACCACACCCCTGCACTCACCACCACCCCTGCACTCACTGATCACACCCCTGCACGCATTTCCAGGTAGACTCCAGGTAAAAGACATAACATCGCACTGAGGGTTGGCAACCCATCAATTTGACCACTGAAAAATGTTATCGTATTTACGAGAAAAAAAAATCTTACGAAAAGAACCATATTTTCATCTACATGAGGGAGACTTCAGGTGTGTGAGGCATACCTGTAAACAATTTGAGAAATATTACGTACGGTGTTTGTAGATCTTCCATCATTGGAAGCCTCTGTGACACCATGTCCTCCTTCACTGAGTGTCTCCGTGGCCAGGTCCTCCTCCACGAAGATTCTCTGTTTAGGGTCCAAGTCGCCATCAGTTGAGTCGTGATGGGGGTCAGTCTTGCCTTGACACCTACTTCCTCCAATTTGACTAAAACAAACTAAATCAACTTTGTCCAAAAAAGAGTAAATTCAAGACGTTGTAGCTATTAACTGTTTATTTTGAAGTTTTCACACAAGCTTCGAGTAAGAGAGGCAGATAACTACTGTCCGGTTGTTGACCGGCCCAACTGGGAGAGAACTACACTTTTCTTTTCCTTTTCAATATACAGTATAACACTCAATGGAAGCTGCCTGGAACCAGTAATCACTATAGAGCAAGTTTCTAACGTTTCAGATGAAACTCGACACAGTCGACACAATTAGACACCGCACAAGGTCACTCGTTGTCTTCAACCATCACCAAGGGAAGGACGGGTATATGGGCTACACTATGAGAGTAACGTACAATACTGCTAGTTCACTAACTACTGTATAACATAGTTTATCCTGACTTGATGGTGTCTATGATACATGTCTAACTTGGTTGAACTATTCTTTGACACGAAATACAAAAATTAATGTCTCCGGTTTATGAATAAAAACAGCTTACACGAAGTATCACAAATCAATTTGTAATAGTTGTTACTCCGCCAGAATCTTCGTTTTCAATCATTAGTCGTTTTATAAGTCGATGTAGTAAAGGTGTTTGTACAGTATGTTTAACTAAGGATCATTAGGATAAATTAAAAGTTGGTAATTATTCAGAACTGGCCATATCTTATTAATTATAAATATACTGTTGTTACTCCCTTTGACGTGTTTTAATTTGAACGAGAAAAACTTCAGACAGCGGGTGTATCGTAGACAAAATACTGACCTCACGCTGCTTATTATTAAAGCTGGCCTAGCACTATGCCGAGTCTGATTTGTTGTTGTATTTAATAAGCATATAAACTTACGCCGCTTATAAGAGTATTGTTGCGACGAGGATGCCAACAAAAGTTAAAGTAAAAGATTTGAATATTGACAAGTTAGCCTACCAGGCGTACCAACCCAGTCTCATACTCAACAGGTGTTTGTTGCTTATGATACAAGGAGGCGAAAAATAAGATTAAATTCTAATGGAGTAAAGAGTAGCCAGGTAGTCCAATATTTGGCCTTAACACTCTCAGGTGTTTAATTAACTGGTGGCAGATGTTGCACAGGTGGGAGACAGCCTTTTTTTTTTAACTCGGTAATATATCAATAATAACGTAGAGAGCTGAGAGGTGAACAATGTAGGAGAGCTGAGAGGTGAACAATGTAGGAGAGCTGAGAAGCGAACAGTGTAGGAGAGCTGAGAGGTGAACAATGTAGGAGAGCTGAGAGGTGAACAATGTAGGAGAGCTGAGAGGTGAACAGTGTAGGAGAGCTGAGAGGTGAACAGTGTAGGAGAGCTGAGAGGTGAACAATGTACGAGAGCTGAGAGGTGAACAGTGGGGAGAGCTGAGAAGGAACAGTGTAGGAGAGCTGAGAAGGAACAGTGTAGGAGAGCTGAGAGGTGAACAGTGTAGGAGAGCTGGAGAGGTGAACAGTGTAGGAGAGCTGAGAGGTAACAGTGTAGGAGAGCTGAGAAGGAACAGTGTGGAGAGCTGGGAGAGGTGAACAGTGTGGGAGAGCGAGAAGGAACAGTGTAGGAGAGCTGAGAGGTGAACAGTGTAGGAGAGCTGAGAGGTGAACATGTAGGAGAGCTGAGAGGTGAACAGTGTAGGAGAGCTGAGAAGGAACAGTGTAGGAGAGCTGGAGGTGAACAGGTGTAGGAGAGCTGAGAGGTGAACAAGTGTAGGAGAGCTGAGAGGTGAACAGTGTGGGAGAGCTGAGAAGGAACAGTGTAGGAGAGCTGAGAGGTGAACAGTGTAGAGAGCTGAGAGGTGAACAGTGTAGGAGAGCGAGGTGAACAGTGTAGGAGGCTGAGGCGAACAGTGTAGGAGAGCTGAGAGGTGAACAGTGTAGGAGAGCTGGAGAAGGAACAGTGTAGGAGAGCTGGAGAGGTGAACAGTGTGGGAGAGCTGAGAGGTGAACAGTGTAGGAGAGCTGAGAGGTGAACAGTGTGGGAGAGCTGAGAAGGAACAGTGTGGGAGAGTGAGAGGTGAACAGTGGGAGGCTGAGAGGTGAATGGGAGAGCTGAGAAGCGAACAGTGTAGGAGAGCTGAGGGTGAACAGTGTGGGAGCTGAGAAGGAACAGTGTAGGAGAGCTGAGAGGTGAACAGTGTAGGAGGCTGAGAGGTGAACAGTGTAGGAGGCTGAGAGGGTAACAGTGTAGGAGAGCTGAGAAGCGAACAGTGTAGGAGAGCTGAGAGGTGAACAGTGTAGGAGAGCTGAGAAGCGAACAGTGTAAATAAAACAACTTGGTAACTTTAGATTCAGACAATATATTTTCCAGAACTTTACAATAACCTCTTAGTAACCTATGTTTTATCATGGTTTGGAGACCTTTAGCTTTCTATACACTTTAATAATATGTAGAACAAATCATCACTATGTACACTACAAACCAGACTGGCACAAGAGCATGTACACACACCTCAGCCTTCTTGGGGTAAGGACGGTGCAGTCGGCACTGCCCGCTAACGCGGCCGTGGTCTCTTGACCATGGAGACAGCTGCCAGCCCGGTCTGTCGGGCTCTCCCCTTCCCCATCTCCTCCTTCCCATCTGGATTTATCAACAACCTCACACCAACAGTACAGTGCAAAGATTGACGATTAACCCACAAGTGATATACAAAAGTGGCAATTTCAACTCGAAGAAAAGCTCAAAAACACAGCTGCAGTTGTGGCTGGATCTGACCTAACCTGACCTGACCTCACGGCTTCACCTGACCTAACCTGAAGGATGGAGCACACCTGCATGCCACAAGCTACTGTCCTGGACACACCTGCCCAACCGCATCCAGCCCATACGAGCACGAACTGATTGCTACAAGAACAGCCCAGTCCCAACCATTGTAAAATGCAATACCTAAATTTCACATGTCATATTGTATCACTTATGTTACTTGTACATCATTTGTAAATCAAGAGACCCATTCCCCAATTATGTAATTGTATATTTTCAGCCTTCCGGCTGCCATACTCTTTCAATAAACCGTTAATTATTATTATTATTATCACACACACACACACACACACACACACACACACACACACACACACACACACACACACACACACACACACATCACATACTTCAAATAGTCGCGATAAACTGAGACCCAATCGTCCTAAACCTCCCTCCCAGAGACCAAACGAGAAATAAATAGCTGGGGCCTTCTATGATCTATGCATCTCAGGATTCCACCTGAGCGAATGCAAGTGAGGTATTCGCAATAATTATGTTACATAAGGATTTAATACGTGCCTGCCTGGGGTGGGGGGGCGGGTGTTGGCAGTGAGGTGTCGTTATTGTATCTCTGATGATGGAGTGGTGTTGTGGGGTGTGACGGGTGCTGTGGGGTGTGAGGGTGTTGTTGGGTGTGTGGGGGTGTGGGGTGTGGGGTGTTGTGGGGTGTTGGGTGTGAGGGGTGTGGGGTGTGAGGGTGCTGTGGGGTGTGAGGGTGCTGTGGGGTGTGGGGGTGTTGTGGGTGTTGTGGGTGTGAGGGGTGGGGTGTGGGGGTGTTGTGGGGTGTGGGGTGTTGTTGGGTGTGGGGGTGTTGTGGGGTGTGTGGGGTGTTGGTGTGTTGTGGGGTGTGGGTGTTGTGGGGTGTGAGGGGGGTGTGGGGGGGTGTTGTGGGGGTGAGGGGTGTTGTTGGGTGTGGGGGTGTTGTGGGGTGTGAGGTGTTGTGGTGTTGGGTGTGTTGTGGGTGTGGTGTTGTGGGAGTGTGGTGTTGTTGGGTGTGGGGGTGTTGTGGAGTGTTGGGTGTGTTGTGGGGTGTGGGGTGTTGTGGGGTGTGGGGTGGTGGGATGTGGGGGGGGTGTGGGGTGTGGTGTTGTGGGGGGGGGGTGTGAGGTGGGGGTGTGGGGTGTTGTGGGGTGTGGGGTGTTGTGGGGTGTGAGGGGTGTTGTGGGGGTGTGTTGTGTGGTGTGGGGGTGTGTGGGTGTTGTAGGGTGTGGGGTTGGGGTGTGGAGGTTTGGGGGTAGGACGTGTTGTTTGAGGGTGATGGAATGAGAGGTGGGTGGGTGGGCGGGGGAGAGGGTAGGGTGAGAGGTGTGTGGAAAGTGAGGGCAGGGGTGAGGGGAGGAGGAGAGGTGTGCAGGCCTTCTTGGGAGGTGGAGGGTGACGATAATGGGAGTACCTGGGTTAAGGGTGAGAGGATGAGAGGGAGAGAGGATGAGGGGTGGATGAGAGGGATTGGATGGGAGTGGGAGAAAATAGGGGTTGTGGGATGGTGGGAGGGTAGAGATTAGTCTCTATAACCAACACCCTCCAAATCACCCCCTACAACCCTGCAACCACACCCCACAACAAACACCACCCCCACAACAAACACCACCCCCTACAACCCTGCACCACCCTCACAATCACCCCCTAACCTGCAACCACCACCCTCACAATCACCACCCCCTACAACCCCTCGCCCACCACCTCCAATCACTCACCCCTGGCCTGCAACCACCACCCTCACAATCACCACCCCTACAACCCTGCAACCACCACCCTCACAATCACCACCCCCTACAACCCTGCAACCACCTCACAATCACCACCCCCACAACCCCAAACCCACCACCCCTCACCAATCACCACCCCTACAACCCTGCAAGCCACCACCTCCACAATCACCACCCCCTACCAGCCCCTGCAACCACCACCCTCACAATCACCACCCTCTACAACCCTGCAACCACCCTCACAATCCCACCCCCTACAACCCCTGCAATCACCACCCTCCACAACAACCACCACCCACGACCACCATCAGTGTTTTTACCCTCAAGTAACTTAACAATTTAATTCTAATGTTCCTCAGATTATGCAAATACCTTTAACAACATATTCTTTCTGACAATATAAATGGGCACACAAGGACTTACAGGTATGCGTTGCTTCAGGTGAAAATCTCTCTCTGGACTTACATTGTGAGATATTATATTTTAGGAATTGTATCTGTGTTTGCGGTGGAGAGAATGTGAAATGTCTGTCTGTCTGTCTGTCTGTCTGTCTTCTCGCATGCCGTATAAGATATGGTTTGTTGATTAGATAGAGATATGGGTACGAGTGTGTATGCGTGCGAATATCCATGAAGAGATTCAGCATCGGATCAGATGTGCATCTCAAGCCTTTGGCAGACTCCGAAAACGTTTCTTCATCTGTAGGGAGCTGAAATTATCTGCAAAATTAAACGTATATCAAGCAGTGGTCTTCCCCACCCTGCTATGACAGGGAGACATGGGACACCAACTGTAGGAGCATCGAGGCTACCATAATCCATGAACAACTACGTTGGACTGGCCATGTTACCCGCATGGACGACAGTAGACTGCCAAAGCAGCTACTTAACAGTCACCTAACGAATAGTGAACATAACGCTGGTGAGCAACTGAAGAGGTATAAGGATAGTCTTAAGACAAACCTGAAAAGGTGCCAAATCGATCCCCTCACCTGGGGAGACGATTACTCCACACCGTAACGCGGAAGAGCACCACACGAAGGTGTCAATACTTTCGAGTTAGCCTGACTGAAACCGAGGAAGAAAAGCGCACGCGCGGAAAGACGCTGCCACCGCCCTCCCGCACTCGATGTAGCCCTCCACATGTGCAACATCTGTGAACAACTCACCATTGAAGGGTGACATCCCTAATACTCATATCATTGTATCATAGTTGGATGACCGTCATATGATTCAGAGTGACAGCAAAGTAGTAGTAGTAGTGGAGTGATGAGGCAGAATCAGATGATCTCCTATGTGAAGCAAGAACACTGCAGGAGACTAAAATTTACAGGCGACGGAAAGCAAAACACCGATGACGTTACAAGAAATTGGAAACAAAATGCGTGTGGGAAAAGTGTCTTTGGCGGTAAGATCTCTCACAGAGATCTCCGGTGGGGTGATGCCAATAAACAGAGAGACATTAAAACTACTGATAGATAAACATCCCCCTGCAAGTGATGACGAAGGCATCAGGTTCCAGGGTGACTATATCCCACCAAATGCTGTCCTGTTCGAGAAAATAACAGGAGGGAGGTGCCGGCCCTTCAGCTCTGGATGCAAACGGTTGGAGAGACATCCTCAGCACTAACAAGTTTGGCCCCGTAGTAGTAGTAGTAGTAGTGTGTGTGTGTGTGTGTGTGTGTGTGTGCGTGTTATCTGTCTTTCTGTTTATCAATATACATTACGTGCATATTTCCATCCATCCATCCATCTATACTATACTATAATCCACATCTCTTTACCTTTCTCCAGCGAACCGTGAACAGACAGCTGCACGCCACAAAGAACCACTACCAGCAGTAACCAGTGCCTCTGAGAGCTCACGCCACCAAGCTAGCAGAGCGTGCATGATAACACCTAACTTGTAAACTTATTGTCTATGATCCCACGGCGAGGGGTGAGGCAGAGAGAGGGGAGGTGAGGGGAGGGGGGAGGAGGGAAGGGGTTGGGTGGAGAGGAGGTGAGGTGGGAGAGGGTAGGGAGGAGAGTGAGGTGCGTGTGGTGACAGGGGTAGGTGGAGGAAGGGGGAGAGGTGAGGGTGTAAACAGTGGGAAGGAGTAGGTGAGGGGAAGGGGATAGGTGAGTGAGGTAGAAGGGGGAAGAGGGAGGGGAGAAGCCACAGGAAGTATAACAGTTTATGCACCTTGAAGGGTCCCTGGGGTGTGGTTCTCCAGGGGGGGTGGAGGGAGGAGGTGGATAGAGGGTGGATAGGAGGCTGGATAGATAATTAATGCCCTTACAGTGGCCTCGCTTTCCCTGTAGGCGACACTGGGTGGGTCCTGGAGGAGTCGATTTGTTTTCCTTATTATAAGTGGTGTCAATTCTGGAGCACCACCACGCCCCTTGTACCACACCCTACTAAGGCTTCTAGCAGAAAGGTACTGACGAAGGAGTCCACTACAGGAATACCAATGGTGTTTGTTTATCATATTCACCTGGTGGCACTGAAGAAGGAGGACCTAAATCTCTACCTTACTGTGATACTTAAGAGAATCCTGTGGGAGATATGACTCGAGGCATGAGAGTCGACGAGGTGTTCCTTAGGGTAATAAAGAAAGAAAGTTCGAGTATTAAGTTGGAGTATTACTTGACAGGGAAGCAAACAATGACTGACACACACACACACACACACACACACACACACACACACACACACACACACACACACACACACATACAGGTTACTTCGTCATACTCGTTATAATGTTTGGTGCTGTGTTTCGTAATTTGGGGTACAAGTCTCTTTCGGTGTTTATGATTGTTTCGTTAAGTTCAATACTTTATTACTGCATTCTCTCGTTCTTCTCGTTCTTTTCTTCTTCTTTTTTCTTCTTCTTCTTCTGTTCTTTCTTCTTTCTTCTTCTTCTTCTTCTTCTTCTTCTTCTTCTCGTTCTTCTTCTTCTCGTTCTTCTTCTTCTTCTTCTTCTTCTTCTTCTTCTTCTTCTTCTTCTTCTTCTCGTTGTTGTTGTTGTTGTTCTTCTTCTTCTCTTCGCTTTCTTTTTTTCTTCTTTTCTTCTTCTTCTCTTCTTCTCGTTCTTTCTTCTTCTCGTTCTTCTTCTTCTTCTTCTTCTTCTTCTTCTTCTTCTTCTTCTTTCCTTCTCCTCTTCTTCTTCTTCTTATTATTCTCTTCTTCTTCTTCTTCTCGTTCTTCTTCTTCTTCTTCTTCTTCTTCTTCTCGTTCTTCTTCTTCTTCTTCTTCTTCATCTTCTTGTTCTCGTTCTTCTCGTTCTTCTTCTTCTTTCTTCTTCTTCTTCTCTTGTTCTCGTTCTTTTCTCTTTCTTCTTCTTCTTCTTCTTCTTCTTCTTCTCGTTCTTCTTCTTCTTCTTCTTCTTCTTCTTCTTCTTCTCTCGTTGTTGTTGTTGTTGTTGTTGTTGTTCTTCTTCTTCTTCGTTCTTCTTCTTCTTCTTCTTCTTCTCGTTCTTCTTCTTCTCTTCTTCTCGTTCTTCTTCTTCTTCTTCTTCTTCTCGTTTCTTCTTCTTCTTCTTCTTCTCGGCAGTAAATTATTAATGGAATCATTCAGAAAGAAACTCCACCACACTGCCACAAGAAACCTCCCTCCCCCCATGGAGTCATCTTGGGGTAGCTTCCATCATCACAAGTAACACCCAACACATCAAGACCCACTAACAACAATAGGAACACTAACCTAACCTAACCTAACCTAACCCTACCAACTCACATGGTCCATCTCCCTAGCTATTGATCTATGAGAATTTCGACCTTACGGTGTTAATCTCGGTGGGTGACATGAGGGCTGTATATAGACTTGTGAAGGAAAGGGGGAGGAGGAGAGGAGGAGGGAGAGACAGGAGGGGGAAAGAAGGGGAGGGGGGAGAGGGGGGGTCGAGGCGTGCCCCCGTAATTGTGTAATGATGTAATTTGCCCATGTCTGACAGCGGTGATCACATACAGAGGAAATTTCCACATCATTCCGTTTTATTTGTTATTGATTTTAAGAAGGAATACTTTCACCTCTTATACAACGATACCTAGAGGGACGTTAAAGAGTATTTCTCATTGGTCTAGACACGTTTAAGAGCCTTTCTCATTGGTCTAGATTCGGTGGTAATATGCAAGAGCGAAGTAAAAAGAAATCTAACGAAAGGGTTTGTAACTTCGACGTGAATCGGTGTAAATAATCTGTGACCTGGCGGGACTTTCACGAGGGACCGGAAGTTAGATGCTGTGACCCTCCTCCCCTTCTCCCTCCCCCATTCCTCCCTTCCCTCCTCCCCATTCACTCCCTCCTCCTCCTCCCCCCTCTCTTTCCCCCTCCCTCCAATAGCATCCGCAGCAGCAGTATCTCCCCTCTACTAGTCTCTCCTTCACACCAACACCTTCTCCCCACCAACATCTTCTCCCGCCTCTCATCTCCCCATCAACACCTCCTCTCCCTCCCCACCCCATCTGCCCCTTCCGTCGACTATGTCATTTTCTCCCTCTGTGGCGACATGACTTCAACAAAATGAGAAGGTGATCGCGGTGATGGTGAAGATGCATGATGGTGAGGGAGAAAGTAGTAGTGGTGGTGACGATGATAATTCTGGAGAGAGAGAGAGAGAGAGAGAGAGAGAGAGATAATGATTCACAACACTCAAGTCCCTTTAACACCACGTTCCCTCTACACAGTTTACAGTATCTCACCACATCTCTTAATTAAGTACCTACTACCTATAAACCTCACCGATAAAGCCAGCGGTGTTTAATCTCCACCCATCACAACCCTGGATGACTACCAAGAGATACAATCATTGGCTCGGAGCGCTCATCTGATGTACAAGTACGAAAGTTTCAATGTTTAGACACGAATCAAACCCTTCCAGCCAATGACTATATCTACCTTAATCATCTAGGGTTATTATTGGTCAAGATTAAACACCGCTGGCATATTGGCGAGGAATGGAATCGTAAATAATTAATACCTAAGCACTATCTACCTGCAGGACGAATGAGTGTTATCGATATATTTGGTGGAATGTCTGTCTGTCTGTCTCACACACACACACACACACACACACACACGCACAATACAATATACGAGGTGAACATAGGTATTTGACTCCACGACCACGGACACCATCTAACTTGATCTGTCTGGCCACATATTATAGTCTACGATTTTATATATACCCAAAAGAATATATATATATATATATATATATATATATATATATATATATATATATATATATATATATATATATATATATATATATATATATATATATATATATACGATATAGAGTGTGACATAATCTACAATGTTATAATATAGGATAGGCCGTAAAGTTATATATTATCGGTACCCTCGTACTTCTTTCGACTAGTTATTTATGGTCGAGCTGCGTCGGAATCCGGAGCACTGAGTCTGCCAAAGAAGGTTCGATTTTTCTATTATCTAATTAGAGTTTAAAGAACGTGTCTAGTAGGTTCACTTTTGAGATGAGGTGGTTCATTGGTGGGTTCGAAAAAGAGGTTCGGTTGTCGAGGTGGTTCATTAGTGGGTTCTATAAAAAGGTTCGGTTGTTGAGGTGGTTCATTAGTGGGTTCTATAAAAGGTTCGGTTGTTGAGGTGGTTCATTAGTGGGTTCTAAAAGGGTTCGGTTGTCGAGATGGTTCATTAGTGGGTACTAAAAGGGTTCGGTTGTCGAGGTGGTTCATTAGTGGGTTCTAAAAGGGTTCGGTTATCGAGGTGGTTCATTAGTGGGTTCTATAAAAAGGTTCGGTTGTTGAGGTGGTTCATTAGTGGGTTCTAAAAGGGTTCGGTTATCGAGGTGGTTCATTGGTGGGTTCTAAAATTGTTCGGTCATCAAGCTGGTTCACTCATAAGATTCGAACTAGGAATATACTCTCAAAGGTTCATAAGGTCAAATACACGTATCAAGACGACACACCTGAGACACACCTGAGTAACATCACAAACATAGACAAGATTTATTCAATTTAAAACTTAAAAACAAAACAAAATTTCTCTTTTAAATTAAGATACGTGATAAAATAAATAAATAAAATAAATAAATAAATAAATAAATAAATAAATAAATAAATTAATAAATTACAATCCAAATTTAACCTTAAAATGTATCGTAAGTCGAGACAATATAATTCTCTTTACCTACGTATAAGGAAACAAATTACGTTCATAAGAAAAACTAACTCGCGATTATCAGAGAATGTGGATCCAGGGTCGAGAGATGTGATATAATAGGTAGCCAAGATGTCATTAGACTTTACCTTACGATGATTCATGGTGACATTTATCGTGGGTTTACGAGAATCCACGTAAAAAAAAATTAGGAGTATATTATTTTTTTTTTTAAGAATACTTTGGTGGTGGTGGTGGTGGTGGTGGTGGTGCTAGTTGGAGTAGTGCTCGTGGGAGTGGTGGGAGTGGTGGTGGTGGTGGTGGTGGTGGTGCTAGTTGGAGTAGTGCTCGTGGGAGTGGTGGGAGTGGTGGTGGTGGTGGTGCTAGTTGAGTGCTCGTGGGGTGGTGGAGTGGTGGTGGTGGTGGTGTTAGTTGGAGTAGTGCTCGTGGGGGTGGTGGAGTGGTGGTGGTGGTGGTGGTGAATCACAATAATATAATGATGTGTAGATGTTTGTAAACAATGTCTTGCTGATTGTTAATATTTTTTATTGTTGAGGATATTAATTGTGATGAGGTTACCACACACACATACACAAAACATACATGTATACACACACACACACTATATATATATATATATATATATATATATATATATATATATATATATATATATATATATATATATATATATATATATATATATATATATATATATTGTGTTGTCTAATGGTAGACCCTGCTGCCATATGGCATCACAAAATTGTGACCAAGTCCCAGGTTGCTGATCTGACTTTCTGCCTCATTTACACACAATTGCTGGGTCTCAATTGTTTTCTTACTTTGACAACACAACATACATATATTGTTTCTCACTATTGATTTTTTTAATTTTTGTATTTCTTTTATGTTTCTAATTATTCTTATTATTATATATTATTATTATTATTATTATTATTATTATTATTATTATTTAAGATTCTATTTTTATTTATTTTTTTATTATAAATTGTATTTACTATAAATTAATATTATTATTATTATTATTACATTTTCGCCCCCCAGACCCGATGTGGGTCAGTGACCTGTGCCTGAGTGGGCTAATGCCGGTAAAACAAAATACATGGGCACACACACACACACACACACACACACACACACACACACACATACACAGACACACACACACACACAATGCATGCAGGAGTTACTACTGCACCACGTGAGGTGCCTCACAACACCATCTGTGATAAGAACATAAGAACATAAGAATGGCGGAAACTGCAGCGGGCCTATTGGCCCATACTGGGCAGTCCCGTTTACACCCAACCCCTATTGCTCATATAAGCATCCAACCTATGTTTGAAGCTATCCAGCGTATTCGAGTTCATGATGATATTTGGTAACTTGTTCCATTCATCCACTACTGTTTCCAAACCAGTGTTTACCTATTTCGCTCCTAAATCTAAATTTGTCTAATTTAAAACCATTGTTACGAGTTCGTTCCTGGTTGGATAGTTTGAGTACCTTTGTAATGTCTTCTTTGTTTAGCCCTGACTTCCATTTAAACACCTCTATCAGGTCGCCCCCTCGCTCTACGTCTCTCGAGGGAGTGCAAATTAAGATGCTTTAACCTGTCTCTATAAACCTAATTCCCAAGATTAGTTTTGTCATTCTCCTCTGAATTCTTTCCAAGGATCCTATATCCATTCTGTAATACGGTGACCAGAATTGAACTGCGTAATCCAAGTGGGGTCTCACAAGCGCAAGATATAGTTTAAAGATGACCTCGCTAGTCTTGTAACTAACACTCCTTTGTATGAACCCAAGTACTTTATTGGCCTTGTTATGAGCAAAAATACATTGTTTAATTGGCTTAAGGTTCCTACTTATCATTACTCCTAAATCTCTCTCGCAGTCGGATTTCTCAATGGCATCGGTGTTTATCTGGTAACTCGTTTCCCTGTTTACATCTCCTATACTGAGTACTTTACATTTGTAAACGTTGAATTTCATCTGCCATTTTTCAGACCATTCGAAAAATTGGTTTAGATCTTCCTGTAGTTTTGCGGAGTCATCGTCAGATTTAATAACACGTCCTATTTTAGTGTCATCAGCAAATTTACTTATGTTGCTGTCTATGCCGATATCTATGTCGTTTATGTGTATAATAAATAATAATGGTCCAAGTACTGAGCCTTGGGGAACTCCACTTGTGACGTTACTCCAATGGGATTTAGTGCCGTTAATACTCACTCGCTGTTTCCTATCCTGTAACCACGCCCTAATCCATTTAAGGATATTACCTTTGATGCCATGTGCTTCTACCTTTCTAATTATTCTTTCGTGGGGGACTCTGTCGAAGGCTTTGCTAAAGTCGAGATATACCACATCATAATTGTGCCCCTCGTCCACCGATTCGAAAACTGATGAAAAGAATGTTAATAGATTAGTTAGACATGAACGCCCACTTGTGAAGCCATGCTGGGAATCATTGATCAATCGGTGCTTCTCCAGATTTCGAATAGAGTTTGAAATGATTGCTTCCAGTAATTTGCCTACTATTGATGTTAGACTGATTGGGCGGTAGTTAGAGGATAGTGATCTATCCCCCTTCTTGAAAATCGGTATTACATTCGCTATCCTCCAGGTTTCTGGTACTACACCTGTTTTTAAGGACATGTTAAACAACTTTGCTAAGGGCATACTAAGCTCTTCCTTGCATTCCTTTAATACTCTGGCAAATATCTCATGGGGACCAGGTGACTTATTAGGCTTTAGTTTGTCTATTTGCTTACTTACATCGTTACTAGTCACTACTATCTCGCTTAATTGGTATTCTTCAATATCTCTCAATAGTGTCGGTGCCTCGGGTATCATGTTTAAATTTTCGGTGGTGAAAACTGTTGAAAAATATTTATTCAGATTAATGCTCATTTCTCCATCGTCATCAGTTAGCTCACCGGTATCTGACTCTATTGGTCCAATGTTTTCTCGTGTTTTAGTTTGATACATTTGGTAGAATCCTTTGGGGTTTGTCTTTGCCTCCCTTGTTATCTTCACTTCATTATTCCTCTTAGCTTTCCTTATCTCGGACTTAACCCTACTGGCCAATACCTTATAATAATCCCAGAGGTAAATTTCGCCACGATTTATCCTTCTACCTATAGCCTTCCTTTGGCCAATAATGTTCTTTAAATAATTTTTTATCCATTTAAGGTCATTGTTGTCTGATCCGAGCTTTTTGTACGGTATGTTCTGCCTTTGCGCATTAAGTAACTCATTATTTAAATTGTCGTGGAACTCGGCAGTCTCAGATCTCGTTATAAGGTCGGTTTCAACTGTCAATGTCCCCCCCCCCCCTTCCCTCAGCTGCCTCTTCAAACTATCAAAGTTTGCCCTTCTGAAATCTGGGACTTTTGTGGAATTTTCCTTACGTCTGCCCTGAAACTAACTGGAATCTAATTTCTTTGTGGTGGCTGTTTGCAAGTTCGTTCCCTACATCGACATTGCTAATGAGGTTTTCCCTGTTCGACAGAACTAAATCGAGTATATTATTACCCCGGGTGGGTTCAGTTATATGTTGACTTGGGAAACAGTCCTGGCAGTCGAGAAATTCCTCTGATTCTGAGTTACCCGTAAGGTCAGTCCAATCTATTTGGCTAAGGTTAAAGTCGCCTACAATACAGACTTTGTTGTGTGTGGAAGCCCTGCGCATTTCATCCCAGATAAGTCGCTCATTAACTCTTATCAAGATTGGGAGGTCTATATATTACTCCTGTGATTATTTTTTTCCCTACCGTCGATTAATTCTATCCAAATTGTTTCTATACTCCGCTCAGTTTTTATTTCCTTATTTATTTCACACTTCAGGTTATCCTTGACATAGATTGCTACTCCGCCTCCTTTCCTGGTCTGCCTATCGGTATGGAACAATTTGTAACCCGCAATTTGGTATTCAACAGGTAACTCTCGTGAGTCTAGGTTGATCCATGTTTCAGTGAATGCTATTATATCGATTTTTCGGTACATACCAATGCCCTAATATCATCCATTTTGTTTCTCATACTTCTACTGTTCACGTAGTAGACATTTAAGTTAGTCGCGTTCTGAGTCTTCCCTTTACGGCGTTTAGGTTTTAACTCCACTGCAGTCTCCTCCACCCCCGTGATGCCCCTAACAACACCATCTGTGAGGTAGTTACTACACCACGTGATGCCCCTCATAACACCATCTGTGAAGTAGTTACTACACCACGTGATGCCCCTCATAACACCATCTGTGAGGTAGTTACTACACCACATGTCTGCTGTTCAACACCTCAGCACACCTGATCTACATGACCTCCACTGTAAACATTAATCTGTATATTCACTGTATGTTCCTCCTCCTTTCTCTAATGAAGGCTTTTGTTAACTACCCCATGTTAATGTATGTAATAAGTTATTTTTGTAAATTTTCAGCCTACGGGCTGCATTACTTTTTCAATAAACCGTTGATTATTATTATTATTAAACATACATGTACACATATTCATCCACACACATACACACACACCACCATAGGGTCAAGACAAATTCAGGCGCTGCTCCTGTGAGCCCCTGCCTCCCTTGGCCAATGTTCTGCCCATTCCCCACGTCCCTCCCCCCGACCCATCCTCCACCACGGATATCAACATAATCAAAGCGACAATTTCGTTTCGGGAAGAAGTGGGACCAGTGTTGAGCAGTGATGAGCAGTGCTTCCGCCAGTGAATTCAGCACTAGATAGTACCAGTAATAACCGTGACCCACCAGTGAGTTAAGCACCCCTGAGAACTGGCCGCCATCTTCTGACAAAGAGGTGCTAATCAGTCCACCCTGGGAACAACAGTGGGTCGGCTTCACACCTGACTTCGAAATAACACAACACCACCCAGTAGGGTGAGGTACTGTGACGCCACCCCACACCACCCGGTGCCCCCATGACCACGTGAGGTCCTTCATATCAACACCCGAGGACGAGTTACTACACCACGTGAACACCACACCACCTGGTGTCCCCATGACCACGTGAGGTCCTTCATATCAACACCCGAGGACGAGTTACTGCACCACGTGAACATCACACCACCTGGTGTCCCCATGACCACGTGAGGTCCTTCATATCAACACCTGAGGACGAG